GGGGGGAGAAGGAAGAGCTTTCCTCAAGCAACCCAGTTCCAAAGATACAGAAAATAAAAATTTTGAAAAAATCATCATTGAACCCAAAAGAAAAAACACTGAGGAAAAAGGCTAAAAGAAAGGGGCCCAATTCCTAACGAAGTCCGAGAATAACGGCTTGCTGAAATCTTTATCCCTGTAAACCCACAAAGAAACCCACTTACTTTATCCCAAAAAACAAAGGCCTCGTTCATTTCACCGATTCGAGTTTTCTGTTTTAGGTTTCTACAGTTAAAAAACTCTCAGAAAATGTCATATCTCAGTTCGAATTGAAAACTCGAATCTGCAAAGCAAACGAGACCAAAAACACCTTCTTCTCGATCTTCAAAAACTCTGCTATTTCTTTCTAACCAAATGCTCCGGAATCCACAGAATTTTAATACATATGCATTTACAACATTCATGATAGAATTTTACATGATGTGTATCATTTCTCAGATTCAAAAACAGAAACCAGAAAACGTTTCATTGTACCTTAGCAGAGAAACCCTTCATCCGAGTAAGAAACGGCAATCCAAGCATACCCATTGGACTAGAAATAAGTAAAACGTCAATGGAAGACTCCTTCCACAAGTGCAGGCTCTCAACAGTTTTATACCAAGGCTCGGAGTAAATCAAGTCCTTGGCACTAAAGGGGGTTTCAATTTCTTGTCTTATTGGAATATCGGATTCTGGCGAACATAGAGGCTCCTCAAAACCAATTGGGATAGGAGAGAAGATCGTAAGAGCTGAGAGGTCCAACGGGACATCGAATAAAATCCTAAAACCAGAAATTTCGAGTATGTGACATGGTGGGAAATGGAAACCACCACCTTTACTCAAACACGTCTGCAAAGACACAAAATATAACATAAATATAGTGAAAAATATGTCAAGACACAAAAACTTGTGTATAAGCAGTGAGAATGTGACTTACAAACTTCATTGAAACTGAAGTTAGAGGGATGTTTTGAAAAACCCACACTGAAAATTCAAGCAGCGACAAGCGGGCCAGCTATTTTCCCCTCAAGAAGCTTTGTGCTAGGCAATAGCAATTTCCAAGGATGTTAAGAATAACAAGAATTGTTGAGAATATCGTCATATTTGATATGGAAAAGGGAGTAGCGAAATGGTTCTCAACGACAATCCTGCGTCGGAGAAAATTCAAAAAGTACCCCTCAGTTTTGGCAAAAAAAAAAAAAAAAAATCACATTTATCCCTGAATCCAAATCAAAAAAGTATTCCAAATGTTTTTAAACGTAACAAATATCATCTCCTATGTAACTTTCCTGGTTTAATTTCTTAAAAATGGCCGAACTGTCCTTGAGACACATACATAATCTATAATTTGTGTTGGGATGTACCAGCTTCCAAACCCCCTCTTGGAGTCACCATTCTAGGCTTTTTTTTTTTTTTGTTTTTTTACCAAATCATCTCAGTTTTAGTCATCTCATAATTTGTTCATATACCGGAAAAAAAAATCAATTTAGGACAAAAATACGTTAAATAAAAACCCCAAATGTGAGCAAATCCAAACCCTAACATTCAAACTAAACAAAACGCAAAATTTTCAAGAAATTCAACTCATATAAGACAAATAATATCTTAAAAAGGAGCTTTTTACCTTCTGACCACCAAAGACTCAAACAAACCGCTGAATACGGTAGGAACAATCGAAGAACAAAACGCAGAGAACGCTGTCGTGAACAGAAGAAACGGGCGTCGAACAACTGTGAAATCAGCTGGAGAACGACACAGATCGGAGTTGGTTCACCAGAGCAACCAACGGCGTTCACTAGAGAAAGGCTCCTTACTGATAAAACTTATTTTTTGTTTTTATATTTAATATAATCAAAATCATATGAGATTTAAAATGTATACAGAGCATACAATTTTAGATATAAATTTAATAGTTGAATATAAGGATTTTTTTTGTATTTCATACTTTCAGAGCCCGCTAAATAAATCTCTTTCTTTTTATTTTATTTTATTCAAAATAAAAAATTACTAATAATAACTATTATTTTAATTATTAGATTAAATTTTTAAGGATTTGATTTATAATAGAGCAGTTTTGTGTCCCACATTATAAACTTTTAATGTGTATACTCACATTTCAAAACATTAAAAATTTAATATAATAGTTAAAACAATAGTTCCTGTCAGTAGTTAAAATAAATCTCTTGAAGATATCTAAAAATAATGTCCGAGTTTGAGCTAAATTTCACGTCTATTTTTGTTTTTTAATAATTTAAAGTGTTATTTTCTATGTTTTTAGAATATTTTAAAATTATCATGTTTGTCTTTAAAAAAAATTTAGAAATAATTCTTTACCTTATCAGAGTTTTTTTTTTTTTTTTTTGAAATGGAACTTATGAGAGTTTTCGAAACACCAAAAGCATCATTAGGAGACGTTTGTTTTCTATATTCGTTAATGATTCTGAATCATGATTTATGGTTCTCTACAGTGTTTTCTCTCACAAAAAATACAAGTAAAACTAGAATAATTCTGAATCATGATTCTAAATACATAAACCAAACGTCGTCTTAGTAATTTACTCCTAAAAAAAATCCTTAGTAATCACTACTTTAATATTATATAGTCATAAAACATCCATACTTGCATATAAACATGTGTACAACATAGGTCCTAGAGCCATCTAAAACACGTTATATATCATGCAATTATTAGAAATACACAATACAATACTTTGAGAAAAGATTAACGTGATTAAATAATGTAACAACAAAAAAGTAATAAAAATAAAGAAACAAAAAATTCCATGTAACTTGAACCATTAAAAAATGCACAAAAGTTAAAAAATTAAGGCGATTCATGCTATTAAAACGATTTGCAATGCAAATGTTAAAGTTAAAGTTATTTTTGACACAAAAAATTGTAAAGCAACGTATTTGATATATTAATTTTATTACTCCTGCAATGCATAATGTTTAAATGTTCTTATCTTTTTCTTTATCTTAAGCATTAAGCTTCTGAAAGTATTAAAGAACTTTTAATTTTAAATAATTTGATAATATTGTGATGATTAAATGAAAAGATAAATATATAAACCGATAGTAATTAAAAATTTTCTAACCGTTAAATATAGTTAAAATTAAATGAGATTGAAAAAATATGTAAAATAAATAATTTTTGATACAGATCTAACGGTTGAGTAGTTCCATTTTTTTAATCATACGGAGAAACTCCTTAAAAAATAACATTGTATAAGAAAATGATTTTACTACTCAAATAATGAAATTTGACATTAACACACTAATCTGACATTGAGTTAAAGATGCTCTAAGCCCATTGTATTTCATTTTTAAACCATCTTCGAACTATCTTTTTTATTCCCCAACTCACAGTCATATCAATGTGATCTTGAGAACTTCTCTGTTGTATTTCCAATCCTTAGAACGTCTCCAATTCCATTCACTCATTAAAATCCATCAACTTCTTAGATTCAATTGCTTCAGTAGCATTTCCACCACAAAGAGAAAAAAATGCTTCGGTGGCATATTTATGAGGTTGGCTATATTACTCATCATCCAATTAATGCCCTTCCCTCCAAATAAACAAGCGGGGCCCTAAAGCTCAGCAAGAAATAGAAAGAAAAAAAAAAAAAAAAAAAAAAAAAAAAAAAAAAAAAAAAAAGACAAATATTTTTTAGAGTGCATGAGTCTGAATCTTTACCTCATACTTTTTATTAATATTATTTTTAGCTAAATAATTATGTAAGTCAAAAAAGTATTAAACAAGAATAAGTTCAACAAATTTTTTTTTTTTTTTAAAGTGAATATGTTGTAGCGTGGATTTTAATTTCCTTTGGTGCAGCAAGTTAAAGGTATTCTGTTTGTAAGGTGCATTTTTTGATTGGTTTGAGTAAGTAAGATTGATGAAATTATAACACCTCCAATTGAATGATCTGTTGTTGTAAATAGATGCTTTATTTTAACAACGGATTCAGTTTTTCAATTAAAAAAAAAAGTTCAAAGAAGAATTTAAATGCAAGGGTGAACTTAAAGGTGTTTTATAAACCAGGATATAACCAGTACGTTTTAAATAGGTTAGTTGAGCAAATAATAGATAGATTTAGAAGGGATGAATTAGAGACATTCCATATATCAAAGGGTACAACATGTATGGTTCAATATTCAAATAATATATATATATATATATTTTTTTTTGAAACACAATAATATATTGATATAAGTAATATAATTTAAAAGAGATTTTGTAAAATTTATCCAATTATATATATAGGGATTATTTTCATAAATGTTTACAAATTATATATCTTATTTTAAAATACTTCTTAATTTTTTAAAATGATTCAAAATATCCCTTAATATATAAAAAAAACTTATCAAAATGCTCCTTCCGTCTACTACTGTACCATTAAAGATTAACAAAATATATTAAACTCTAATAAAACATGTTAACGTGATTAAAAATTAAAAAGTAAGAAATAAAATACTTGACTTAAAAAAATTAAAAAACTAAAACACATCAGCTAATTTCAAAAGTTGAAAAAAAATCCAAAAAAAAAAACACGTTCACACTCAAACCTCACCACTGGCCAGAAATCCATCCTTGATATCTGAAACCCAATCATAAGAATAAGCAAGACCCACATAAAACATTTCATACCTAATTGACTCAATCTACTCTAAAAAGTCGATTTCCCTCTCTTAAGGGATTCAGTTGTGTTCTCCTTTCAATTAATTTCAAATCATACTTCTCCAAAGAACCTAAACGAAAAAAAAAAATTTCCTTTTCCCCTTCACATCTCAAAGTGCTGACAAAATGGCAGCCCCAAATTTGGTCAATTTCTGTCATACCCAACCCACATTACCATCTTTGCGAGCACAACCCAACCATCATCGCAAAGCAGCCCATCGACCATGCCAGACCCTCCGCCGAATGAGCCATCCACCGCCGCACAACCTAGACCCGTCAAGCCTGCCCACCGCCTAGATCCGTTCGTCACCCTCGCACCACCGTGCTAGATCTTTCGTCTCCCTCCACGAGCCTACCTCCACCGTCACAAGCTCTCATCCACCGTCGCATCTAAATCCGTCATGAGCCCCTTCCCCCCGCCGAGCTAGCCTTCGTCGTCAGTCATTATCTCTGGTTTTTCCCTCCCTCCCTTCCTTTGAGTCTGATACAAGGAAGAAAGCCCAGTCATCAGAGTTATTTTGAGTAAAGAAAAAGAGAAAAACAAAACAAAATTTCTTAAATTAACCTAATTATCATTGGTTAAGTTTAAGTTTTAGGATTCATTTGGTTCATTCGTTTAAATTAGTAATTTTTTATTTTAATATTTAAATTTTAAATTTTTTATAAAAAAAATATTGTAATAAAATTAAAATTATAAATTTAAACGTATAAAATAAATGAGTTCTTACTGATCAGTTTCTTTTTTCAAATTTAATAAACTTTACATATGTTAAAATAAGTGCCACATCATCAAAAGAGTGAAAGTTATTGATGAAAATAGCCGGATGGAGCATTTTGATATGTTTTCTATAAATTATGGGGTATTTTGAATCGTTTTAAAAAATTAAGAGACATTTTAAATTATGATACATAATTTGAGGGCATTTATAACAATAATCCTATATATAGACAATATTGTTGTTTTCAATATTAATGCATTAAAAATATGTTTCTTTTTTCTGTGTTGCTAAATGACGTTTCCATTCATAAAAAAAGAGAGGAAAAAAAGAAGAAGAAGAACAAGAAGAAAACAAACTAACAATAAACAATGACATGAGATTTTTTTTTGTTTTTGTTTTTTTTTTTTGAAGAACATAAGAATTTTGTTTTCATTTGTTTGTTTTGTTTTGTTTTTGCTTTTTGTTTTTTTCTTCTTTGATTGTTTGTAAATTTTTTTGCCATCAGTCTCTATCTTTCTTCTCGGTATGCAATCAAACAGTATACAATCTAACCGTTAAATTCTCATCTTCAGATTTCCTATATGGTCACACAAATATATTGTTTTGTGCTTATTAAATTACACAGAACAGAGTACTTTGAATCAGTTATTTAAATTAAAAAAATGAAAGCGTATATGGACCAAAAAGCTTATTTGACTTCCATTTATGCACAATAAATTATCAATTAAGAATTATCATTGTTGATGAAATTGTTGTCATATTAATTTATGTATAATGTTAGGTCCTTACGTCAGATCTTTTTCTCTTTCACATATATAAGGTTTTTCAAGAAAACATCTACGTATAAAAAAAAAAAAAAAAACGAGAACTTATCTGATATGTCAACGTATTGGTAGGTTAAGTTTTTTGTATATTAAATCTATATAAAATCACGTAAAAATTAAAAAATATATAAATCTAACGGTTACAAATATCTGACATTTTGTTACGTCAAACGTATTAAAAAATTTCTAAAAAAAATTTGGAAAGAAAATGAACCCATCCCATTACCCTTAAAAAAAATAAATCTCATAAAATATCTTTTTTGACACCTGTCTGATACCATTCTTGAGGTTCCATCTTAAGTAAATCTATTGTTGTTTTTGATAATAGTACTCACGGTTTTGCCAAAACGCATTAACACAGAAAAAGTAACAAGTATGAAAATAAACATGTCGAAGTTTATTTATATACAGAAGTATTTATAAAATTATAATGATATCGGCCACCTTTTAAGATAATTTTAAGTTTTTGTTAAGTCTAATTTTTACATGGTATCGAGCCTAAAAACTCAAATGTGCGGTCCGATCTCAAAGATACCATCATTTTACTTGATGTGCAAAATAAATTGAATGTTATTTACAAGAATATTGGATCACCTTACCCTTAATTAAAAAGTCCCTTGAATGAAAAAAGGAAGTGACAATGTGACATTCATTTTATAACTACCAAAAATGGCAACCTCTCTCTCTCAGGAGATGTGTACTCTCGGGAATATGAAGAAAAATATCAATGTCAGCGTTGATGCGGATATTAAAGATACTCACGAAAAAGGTTGAGATTGTGGACAAAAATATTACACATACATATATTTATAATACACACATATCCTTATTAATTCACAACAAAATGTTAATGATGGCACATTAAAGTTTCCAACAAAATATCTTTACAACGTCCTCAGATAGCAAAATATCTTGAAGAGAATTTCTATTAGCCTAAATTTAGATAATCGAAAGAGATCGATCTTTATCTTTTGAATTATTTTCACCGGCATTCTTTAATTTTTAAGGTCATTCTCAATTTATCCCATAAATGTTAAAACTCTTATTTTACTCTTTAAATTTTAAATTGTTTTCAGTTAACTCATTTTGTTATAATTTCTGTTAAGATCGTATAAAAAAAGATGATGTTAAGTGTAGTTATGTGGTTTTTATCTTTTTTTTTTTAAACAGAAATCCAAATAGAAAGATCACGCGACCGCGGTATTCATTTTTTTAATTCATTTTTAACAAAAATTACAAAAGAATGAGCTAAGTGAAAACAATTCAAAGTTCATAGGGTAAAGTGAGAGTTTTTAAAGTTTAAAGAGTAAATTGAGAATGACCTTAAAATTTATGAAATATAAGTGATAATAATCCTTATCTTTACATACAAAAAAGAGTGAAAGAAGATTTTTTCTTCTTTAGCCATCTTATTAGCTAAGTGTTTGAATGCGTGAATACGTACTTGTGTCCACCAAAATTTGAATGCAGACAGTTTTATACCTTTTTATGTAGTGTGATGCACCTATCATTGTGGTAACCATAGACACGTTATTATAGCCCATTTTCTCTATGTCTCAACTCCCAAATGCGTCTCTACAATATAAAGAGACCAGGCATATTGTGTCCAAAATGTCTCTTTAGTCTGTAAAAGATATGCCATCATGAATTATTATATGTCAAAGGCACGCTTAATAATCTGATATTAAAATAACTTCTAGTATTCAACAAAGGGCTTAAATTTCCTTTCAATTTGTCCGCATTAACATGAGTGCATGGGACCCTTTTCCACCTAACGCCCAACTGTACCCATTTATTATTGTCAATTGCCAAACTAAACAAATAATATCTGAAAGCCAAAAATAAAGATGAAATAAAGATGATAGACCATTCGAAAAGAAAGAGAGGGATAATTTCACTGAAACCCTTTGGTTTTGCCTGGGTTACGGAGAGACACAATCATCCAAAATATTTCACATCAAAACCCTCATCGTAAACTCTTTTAATTTTCATGTAAAATGACCAAGATATCCAAATAAATCCTTGTCGTCGATGTACTTGTTGCATTAGTCTTAGCCCTTGATAATATCATTCTTGTGACTATCAGTGTAGTTATAGTTGTGAGTGTGAAAGGATTACTTATGCTTCGTTTGTTTTGAGGGTTCTAGCCTGATTCTAGATCATGATTTTTAGTTCGCTATAATGTTTTTCTCTTACAAAAAAATTAAATTTCAAAAATTAGAATCATGAATCATAATTCTAAACTCATAAACTAAACGTCACCTTAACCTTATTTTCGTTGACTAAATAAGTATAAATGCATTATTTTTGAATTTGGGCCCTAAATGCAGCTGCGATAATTTTCTCATGCACTGAGGGAAAAATATTTTTGCCGTTTAGAAACGGTCAAATTGCACTTTTTCGTCAAGTTTGACCAATGAAGATAGAAGGAGTCCACTGTAATTTTTCTAATAACTCAAAGGGTGTTATTGTAAAACACTTCAATCAAAGGGCTATCCTTATAATTTGGGCAAAACAAATGGGTGTCACCGCAAAAAGTCCAAGAGGAAATTTAGCCAACATGCCATCGTTGGTTGTCAACTTGTTATTGGTCAATGCAGAGTTTTTTGACCCTTTTTTAAAATTTTTCTTTTTTCTTTGTACAAGGGTTTTTGGTCTTTATCAATTGTTGGCAACTTGGGGCGGGCGGGAGTGGACGGAGGAAGCGGTAAAACGTCCTCAACATTTGTTTTTATGTGACTATAATGATCGAGACACGAGCTAAGTTAATAGATGATTGGAGAGAAATAACATTAACAATAACATTGGACACATAAAAAAAAAGATTAACAAAAAAAAAAAGTACATTATGGCTTCGGTTGGTAGTGGGAAATGGTGATGTTTGGAAAGGAAAGGTTAAATTAGCTTCAAAGACAAGGTAAAATCATTTAAAAGAAAGTGAAGAACGACCGGGCCAAACTTTTATTTTTCTTTCTTTTCTTCTCTTTTTGATGCTCCCCCCCACTTTGCTATTTTCTCCACAGACAAAGAGTCAGAGAGAAGGTACTTGGAGATCTTAGGATTACTACAGATTTTTTTTTAAAAAAAAAAAAAAAAAAAAAAAAAACTCCTGTGATCATGGCGTTGGCCTAGGAGGAGCTGTTGGTGAACACCAAAAATCAGTCATATTGTTATTGTTGATTCTTTGTAACAAATATAGCCTTGAGCATAGCAAGGCTGGCCTGCAGCTATGGGAGATACCAAGTTGCAGCTGCTTTTGGCTTTCGTTTGTGCCGGAATTTACTTGGTTTCGTCGTATACCAATCCCAACGACGGTAAGCTACTCCGATACCGATCTCCACTGTCGAGTTCTTCCCTTTTGATTTCCAGAGAAACGACAGATAGTTTTTAGCATGGTCAACGTCTAGGAGTTTGTCACGTATAATTTTAGTTTGGACCTTTTCATGCCAAAGGAGGTGTCTTACAACTAGTTAAAATTGTTTTTTTCTCAACTTTTTTTTTTTTTTTGGGCTTAGATTTCAGCTGTACAAACAATGTTATGGACGATTGAATTGAGAGTGATCATTTTATTGCTTTGAATTGTGTCGGTTTAGTTGCGGTACTTCACTCGTTGAAGGAAGCTTGGGAAAATACACCGCCGAGCTGGGAGGAATCAGATGATCCTTGCGGAGGACAATGGGAAGGAGTCAAGTGCAACGACTCAAGGGTGACAGCATTGTAAGCATTGTTCAAATTAAGGACATCTAACATGATTCTTGTCATGATTGTTCAACCACTAATGAAATTTTTTTATCTTTTTGATCCTTATCATGTGGTTATGCTTGCAGGAGTTTGTCAACCATGGGGCTCAAAGGGAAACTTGATGGTGATATTGGGGGCCTCATTGAATTGAGATCCTTGTGAGTTAATTTTCTTTCTCAACTTTGTTTGGAATTTGGAGCATGTTACAGATAGATCGGGAAATCGTGACGAATGTCCATTTTGAACGCGTCATTTTAAAGTTTATCCGCTGTATCTTATTTCAATTTTTAGCCATTTATGCAAATACCCCAAAAAATTTGTGTTGCAGTGTTAAAATCTGTAATGTTGCTGAAGCTTAATTATCACGATCTCTTCTATTCACTGAGGTTGCAATGTTGTTGCAGGGATTTGTCATATAACAAAGACCTCACAGGTCCTCTCTCCCCTAGATTAGGGGATCTGCAAAATTTGAACATCTTGTAAGAACAAAATTGACCAAGCAATTTGAATTGATAAATTCCCACCTATTGAACTCGTATCATATTATTTATTAAGTGCATTTGTTTTGTTTTAAACTTTCAGAATCTTAGCGGGTTGCAGATTCAGTGGTAAAATTCCTGAAGAATTGGGCAACCTTAAATCGCTATCCTTCTTGTAAGGAACAAACAGATGAATGTTACAACAATTTGAGATTTTTGCAATTATTATTATTATTATATAGAGGGCTTGTCTACAGTCGAGAGACAGTCTCTCCCGCGTAACATATAAAAGTGAAAAACGTAATATTACAATCATTAACATAACATTTACGTTGTAACATAATTTTTGGATGACTAAATTTCTTGGTGCTATGCCTCTCCAATATCAATGTTACATTCAATTATCGTCATATTATGTTTTTCACTTTTACATCAAGGGACATTCTACTAGAAGGATCATAGACAAGCCTATATATATATATATATATATTCAATTGCTTAATTTGTTCAAAAATTTTTCCTTGGCAGAGCTCTAAATTCAAATAACTTCACTGGTAGCATACCTGCTACTCTTGGTAAGCTCTCCAATGTCTACTGGTTCGACGTTTCGGATAATCAGTTGACAGGATCTCTCCCTATATCAACCCCTACCACCTCAGGATTGGATCTCCTTTTAAAGGCTAAACACTTGTAAGTTGTACTTTATCGCCACCTAATCCGACGTACACCTACTGACAATGCGCATTTCTAAATTTTAGATCGGGTGAAAATTACATCAAAATGAAAAAGTACGGAAAATATATAGAACCTGCTAAGATCTGACGTTTCAAAGCAGTGCCTGCCGATGAAAAACTTAAACATACACACAAGACTTCCATATTTTAGTAAGGGGTTAGGTGACTTAAACACTAAGTTACCTGAACTTTGTGAAAATGCAGCCATTTCAACAAGAACCAGCTTTCAGGAGCTATTCCAGAACTTTTCAGCCCTGAGATGGTGCTGATACACGTGTAAGTTGGTATACCTTCTGTGGTTATTGATTAATGTTTTGTTAATATTATTGATCTAATTGGACATGATTATTCACTGATAGATTGTTTGATGGAAACCAATTTACTGGAACTATCCCATCATCATTATGCGCTGTTCAGACTCTTGAGGTTCTGTGAGTAAAATCTACCTAGATTTTGTATTTCCTTTCCTCTCCAGTTTTTGTTTATTTTTTTTTTTTTTATCATTTTTTCCAATTTATTAACTCCTTCAAAATTTATGGGTTTTAAATTGTGTAATTTGTGACAGCCGGCTTGATAGAAATGAACTGACAGGGAGTGTCCCACCTAATCTCAACAATCTTACAAATATCAATGAATTGTAAGTATTAATTTATCAATTGTATACACTAGTTCTATCTCTTTTTATTTTTGAATAACTGTTAAGAAATTTTTATTGATAATTAATAATGAGATGCTCATATTTTTTCTTGTAGAAATTTAGCCTACAACAGCTTGACAGGCCCTTTTCCAGACTTGACTGGAATGAATAACCTCAATTATCTGTAAGTAGTTGTTCAAAATATATCATTTCCAATATTTCTTTCCCATATAGAGCTTGTCCATGGTCTTCTTGGAAGGAAAATATACATGACATTTATTCAATATATACAATAATGATAATGGGAAGTTGTAAAACCAAGAAATTTAGTTATCTCAGACTATTGTTATACACTTCTAATGTCACTGTTACATTGAATATATGTCACGCTACACTTCTCACCTCTATATATCACGGAGAAATAAGAAGACCGTAGTAAAAACCTATATATACATTTGTAGGTATGCACGCGTTTATATCATGTATATATATATATATTTGTTAGACTAATTTTTTTTTCCCCTTATAGGGATCTGAGTAACAACTCATTTGACTCAACAGAACCTCCAGCTTGGTTCTCAACCTTACCCTCTCTTACTACTCTGTAAGTTGATGATTCCTACAAAACAAAAGTTGTGAAGCTTCTCTTAAACTCCATTAATTTAATGACCAATATCTTTGCTAATTTTGGCACCAGGGTCATAGAATTTGGACCAATACAAGGGCGTCTGCCACCAAAGCTATTCAGCATTTCACAGTTACAGCAAGTGTAAGTCCTGATATGAAAATTGAAAACCGATTTCTTCATCTCATTCATTGTAATTTTTGAAATACTAAAAGTGCATTTTCTTTTTACATTTAACTCTTGCAGGAAACTGAGAAATAATTCATTTAATGACACGTTGAACATGGGTGACAGCATAAGCTCAGCGCTGCAGCTTGTTGACTTGGAAAATAACCAGATTTCCAAAGTGACAGTTAGTTCTGAGTACAAAAATACATTAATGTAAGAGTTCTCATATTCCTTTATCTTTGTTTTTCGATGGACTACTTAGTTCTCGTAGAAATCAAACTTTTAAGAACTAGGGTTTCTGTTAAGCAGGGTGATCGAATATCTTTATAAGTTGAAAAATATTTATACTTTAAAAGATGTGGTGGGATTCGGTTTTTTTTTTTTTTTTTTTTTTTTAACCTTAGATCACCATTCTTAAGCATCAATGTTATGTTTTAGACTTGTAGGAAACCCGGTGTGCACAAGTGGTATCTCAGGCACTAGATACTGCCAGCTTCAGCAGCAAAACACAAAGGCCTATTCTACCAGTCTAGCTAATTGCGGAACCAAATCATGCCCAGCGGAACAAAAGCTCAGCCCCCAAAGTTGTGAATGCCAATACCCTTATGAAGGGACCTTATATTTTAGAGGACCTTCTTTCAGGGAATTGTCTAATTCCAGTGTGTTTCATGAACTGGAAATGAGCCTGTGGGTGGAACTTGGCCTCACTCCCGGTTCGGTCTCTCTTCAGAACCCCTTCTTCAACATTGACGACTATCTTCAGGTGCAACTAGCGCTCTTTCCATCCACAGGAGTCTACTTTAATAGGACAGAAATTCAGAGGATTGGGTTTGATCTGAGTAACCAAACTTACAAGCCACCCAAAAAGTTTGGACCATACTACTTCATTGCAGCTCCTTATACTTTTGAAGGTATTTAAGTTGAAGTATTTAGTGAAAGGAATAATGTTATGGACCAAGTTGTTTACCAAATTATGGACATCAGGTGATGTGGTCATTGAAATTTTAGTTAGATGTACTTAACTTGTTTAATGAATTAAAAGGCGACAAGCGATAGTGCCACATCACTTGATATCCACAACTTGTTAAATATATACACTACTCTCTTCTTCTTCTTTTTTTTAATCGTTGGACTGATAAGAAAAGACACGTACATATTTCAGCCAAACATGGAAGCTCAATAAGCACTGGACTGGTTATTGGGATCTCGGTCGGCTGCGCCTTTTTAGTTCTTGGCCTTCTTGGGGTAGGAGCATACGCCATTATGCAGAAGAAGCGCGCAGAAAAGGCCATTGGATTAAGTAGACCTTTTGGTAATTCATTGCATATATATAGTCATTAGTCATCACTCTTTCTTGCTTACATTTGGGTGCTTAAAATTCTAAGCATCAATTTTCAGTCATTGCCTGAGAAATTAGCTAGCCAACATGACTAATCAATCTTCTTTGTGTTTTAGCTTCCTGGGCACCCAGTGGCAAGGATAGTGGAGGTGCACCACAGCTAAAGGGAGCAAGATGGTTCTCATACGATGAACTTAAGAAATCCTCAAATAATTTTTCGGAGAATAATGAGATAGGATCTGGGGGCTATGGCAAGGTAAAAAAACAAATAAGTAAATAAATAAATGTCTTTGGTCACCAACTTGAACATTCCTTGAACTCGTTGTTCTTCAATTGTTGTTGTCCTTTTTGTCACAGGTTTATAGGGGAATTCTCTCCGATGGACAAGTGGTGGCGATCAAAAGAGCTCAGCAAGGATCGATGCAGGGCGGGCTTGAGTTCAAGAATGAAATCGAGCTGCTCTCTCGAGTTCATCATAAAAATCTTGTTGGCCTTATGGGATTTTGCTTTGAACAAGGAGAGCAAATGTTGGTTTATGAATTTATGCCTAATGGAACTCTAAGGGAAAGTTTGTCAGGTAACTTATTTTTTGTTCCAACACCATTTAAGTGAAAGCACTTGAATAGTCTGAATCGACTTTTTTTTTTTTTAACTCACCATTTAAGTTTGTCATGTCTTGGAACAAATAGTCGATGAACTAAACAGAATCTGTTCATATCGATATGAACTGCAGGGAGATCTGGAATTTATCTCGATTGGAAGAGGAGACTACGAATCGCTCTTGGCTCGGCAAGAGGACTCGCTTATTTACATGAGCTTGCAAATCCTCCAATAATTCACAGAGATGTCAAGTCAACCAATATCCTATTAGATGAGAATTTAGGAGCAAAAGTTGCAGATTTTGGCTTGTCTAAGCTTGTCTCGGACAGTGCGAAAGGACATGTTTCAACTCAAGTGAAAGGCACACTGGTGAGTAATATAAACGAAACTCACAACTAAGAAAAATTATGGTTTAATTATTATAAAGAACATATTAAAGAGTTCTCAACCAAGTGTAACCCCATTTAACATTCTAGTATAAGGACTAAAATGATACGATTTTTCCAACATTTTAGGACTAAAATTGAAATTAATTATTGAAATGATAATTTCTCCTTTAACTTCAAAATGGGACTAACTGATAACTTCATAACAAGTTCAGTGACTACTACAGCGCTTGATTTAAAAGTTCAGCGATGAAAACGCAACTGTTTTTAGTAGTTACGTGTGATGTTCATGACCATATGTGCAATTGTGTGCAGGGCTATCTTGATCCCGAATACTACATGACTCAACAATTGACGGAGAAGAGTGATGTGTACAGTTTCGGAGTTGTCATGCTTGAGCTCATAACTGCAAAGCAGCCAATTGAGAAGGGTAAGTACATTGTCCGCGAAGTGAGATTGGCAATGAACAGAAACGAGGAGGAGCTCTATGGCTTGAGAGATATGATGGATCCATCCATTAGAAACACACCGAACCTTATAGGCTTCGGCAGGTTCTTGGAGTTGGCAATGCAATGCGTTGAAGAGTCGGCTGCAGATCGTCCGACAATGAGTGAGGTTGTGAAGGCAATTGAGACCATTTTACAGAATGATGGGATTAACACAAACTCAACATCAGCATCCTCTTCTGCCACTGATTTCGGATCCTCAAAGGGGGCGGCTCTTAGGCATCCGTACATTGATGCTTTGAGTTTGCCCAAAAAGGAAGTTCATGAGAGTGACGCCTTTGATTACAGTGGTGGATACACAATTTCAGCAAAGGTTGAACCCAAGTAGAGCAAGCTTTCGACTTGTGTTTCTTCTTTCGGTCACTTCTTATTAACCGTTTTTGTTTCAAGTTTTTTCTTCTTTTTGTGCAAATATTACTCTTCCTCGAACAACGTTTGATAGTGGCCTGATTAGTAAAGAAAAGGAAAATGTTTGGTAGTAGCTCAAATGTATCAAATTTTGTGTGATAGAAAGTAGGGAATTTCCTCACTTGTTGAACCGTTACTATTCTTATTATCTTGACGATTTTCATCAAGAAAGCATGATTGCTTGACCGTTACTATTCTTATTATCTTGACGATTTCCATCAAGAAAGCATGATTATGTCTTCTTCTTCTTCTTCTTCTTCTTATAATTATTATTATTATTATTATTTTAATGAAGAAGCCCTTAATTCTTACACAAGTCTTATAATTATTATTATTAAGCCCTTAATTCTTACACAAGTCTTATAATAATTATTATTATTTTAATGAAGAAGCCCTTAATTCTTACAACTTGTGTTCTAGTCAATAGTCAGTAAATACATAAAATTTATAATGATTTCGCTTTAATATCAGATTACGGCTCTTTTTCTATTGTTGTAGTAATTCACTATGATAAAGAAGTTTATAAAAGAAAATCGTAGCGGACAATTACTAAACACGTAATTAATTACAGATAAATTGCGGAATTGACTTATGCACTGTGTCATTAATTACTAAACACGTCTAACTAAACTGCATACGTTTGTGTTTACAGTTATGATCACAGCAATGTAGTGGATAATCATGGTGATTAAATTAATTTAATTTACTCTTTAAGGTATTCACTGATTTTTTTAAGGGGAAAAAATTGAGTAATTTTACTTACGGATACAAAATCGATTATTTAGTAGAGTGGAAACGGGAGAGGAAGAAGATTAGGAAAGTGATTTTGAAAAAGAAAATTATAACCTCAGATTATTTGGTAAAAAATAAATTAGGAAGGCAGTCAGTAGTAAATCTATGAACCCATCATTTTTTAATCTTCGAGCTTTAAAAAGAATATACAAGAGAAAAATTTGACAAAATAAGTGGTATTTAAAATAAATAATTATTTTGACCTTAATCATTCTTCATCTATTTTCAACAACAAAAAAATCACTCCTCATCTTTTTATTTATATAAAGATATAATTGTAAAATAATACAGTGTGTTAGTTTTTTTTCCTACCAAAAATATGAAAGAAAATCCCGAACTATTTTTTTTTTTATTTCCTTCACCTTAGTATTTTACTTATTCTTTTTTTTTTTTTTTCATCCCTCCTACTCTGCATGATTACTCACATCTTATATCTTCTCTTTGTTGGTGTTGCATACTGGTGTTGTTTCTCTTTCTATAATTCAAAATATGTTGATTCAAGAAAAAAAATCTTTTTAAGTAATGTTTTAAATACAAAAAGTACATTTTGTAATTCACGGAAATTACAAAAGGTTTTTTTTTTTTGAAAAAAAGCGGGAATTACAAAAAGTTTCTATTCATGGTTGATTTCTATTTGGGGATGGTTTCTATCTGTCTCGATTCTTGAGTAGTTAAAAGTTCCCTCCAAGAAGTACTATATATGGACATTATAAATAAATATAATTTAGGGGCATGAAAATTATATTTATGAAACTAGGTGATTTTTATTCACGAATAATTCTATTTATGGTTGATTTATATTTACGTTAATTTTTATAGCAAAGGGCATTTATTTTTTATTTTTCTTAAAGAATAAAGACATTTATCATAATGCGTCCTTATAAAATATTCATCACTTTTTTCTGAAAAAAAAAATAAAATAGTCATCACAAGTAAGGTATTTTCTTATTGTACATGATTGATGAATCGTCAAAAAAAAAAAATTTGAAATGTAGACGACAATTTTGTAATTTGGACATTTTGTTCTTTAACTCAAGTCTTGTGGAAAAGAAATAGAATAGAATAAAAAAAAATACAAGTATTTTATTTGGTTGGTCTTAGAATAATAATTGTCATTCCGTTGGAATGAGTTTTTGCTGATTTGAAATGGAATCGTCATTCCTTTAGGAGATGAGTGGAACGACAATTTCATCAATGGAATGACCATTGTGATGAAATGATAATTCTTAAAATCCAATCATTTCTATGATCAGTTGGATAAAACGATTTAAAAATAGTTATTCTTTTAAAATTACTATTCCGTAAAATAGTTGAATAACAATTTTTAAAGTGAACCAGTTGAATTATCATTCCATTTCAAAACTGATATTAATTAAAACTCTCTCTCCTTAAATTATTCTTTCAGTGTTCTAATATTTACTTTAAATACTCTTTTAACCATCTCACTTTTTTAATGTCACTAATGAATAAGCGAAGGGGTAGTTTAGTCAAAATATCCATTTTTTTTGAAGTAGTATTCCTCTATTCTAATGACTAACTAAATATAATAATTGTGATTCTAATATTAATTCTAATGCTCAATCAACAAACAATAGAATTTGAATAAATCATTTAATCTATTACTCACCAAAAAGTTTTTTTTGCATCAATAAAAGACTAGCATAACTTTTTAAAATTAGCAACTTAGACCATTTCTAATGCAAATGTTAATGTCAATTGTATATTTACTATAAAAAAGTGTGATATAGTATGTCATTTTCATTTTTTCTCCAATTTATAGTGCTATTTGAAATGCTAAATCTACTTTTTCTCATAATTATTAAGGTTTAAAAGTTGTAAAAATAAATTTCTATATTTAAAATAATTAGAAAATGCAAAAATTACAATAATTACATGAAAAAGTAAACATTTCAACCAATAGTAATCAAATGCTAAATTTCTCATATCCTATGGCACAATAAATAGTATTGCATTAGAGAGTATTTTTTACACTCAAATGCTAAATTTATAATTGGCACATCAATTATAACATTGTATTGGAGATATTCTTATTATTTACATTTTTAGTTTTAATAACATATTACAAAGTACTCGATTGATCATAGCGGTTAAAATTTTAACGAAAATAATCTCTACTAAGTGAGCTTGTTCAAAGAAAACACATGGGATCTTATGTTAGTCATCTCCAATGTAAGACTATTTCTAATGTACATATTAATGTCAATTGTATATTTAACACTAAAAGATGTGATAATAGAATATTTAACATGTTGCACTTTAATGCATAATGTCATTTTAAATGCTAAATTTACTTTTTATTATAATTATTGAGCTTTTAAAAGTTGTAAAAGTAAACTTTTAATGTTAAAATAATTTAAAAAGATAAATGTTGTAATGATTAATTGAAAAAGTAAACATATCAACTAATAGTAGTCAAATGCAAATGTTATTATATGCTATACTTAATTGTAAATATGCAATCAAGTACAATATATGACAAATTTGTCACAATAAATGACATTATATTGGAGAGTTTTATTTACACTCAAATATCAAGTTTACAATTGACACATCATTTATAGCATTGCATTAGAGATGCTTTAGTACTAACAATGATTATATTTAACACTAAAAGTGTGATAGGATATGTTACTATCATTTATACTCTAATGCATAATGTTATTTCAAAAACTAAGGACTTGTTCTTTTGGAGTTTAACTTGAGTATAATTCTTAAGTTGAATTTGAGTTATAACTTGAGTTGAACTTGTAACTTGAGTTTGTGTTTGGTTGTGTACATTTGAGTTATGGTTTGAGATAAGAATCTTTTTAAGTTTGTGTTTGAGTGAGTCAAAACTTGAATTTGTATTTAGATAGTATTTTAATAAAAACTCAATGCTGATGAAAAATTTTAATAGGGTATATGAGTTAGGTTTTATTCGTCTTTTCGTTGTTAACGTATAAAAAAAATCATCTCAATCAGAATTAAAACGAAAAAGTTATAACATTTTTAAGAATAGAAAAAATACTGTTCATTAATTTGAGTTCGAGTTTCTGAACTCGAGTTGAAGGGAAAATTTGAACTCGAGTTTTAGTTCTAAACTCGAGTTTGAACTCGAGTTTAAACTCGAGTTTAAACTTAAAAACTCATGAACTCAAATAAAGTTGTAATTCGAGTTGTCGTTTTTTGAATTTTTCACTCAAAAGAACAAGCCCTAAATCTACTTTTTATCATAATTTTTGAAAGTTGTAAAAGTAACATTTTAAATTTCAAAATGATTTGAAAATACAAATGTTGTAACAGTTAAATGAAAGAGTAAAATATCAACTAATAAAAATTAAATATTAAATTTACTATATAATATACTTAATGACAAATGGCACACTAGGTTAGAATTACATTGGAAGTGCTTTAACATTATTCATCAATTAGGGATACTCTAGTCTCTGCAATATTTTATTAATTTCAGAAAATAATGCCCAATAACTAAAAAAACTAAAGAAAACAATACTATTTCATTTAAAATTTAAAGAGCGCAAAAAAAAAAAAAAAAAAAAAAAAAACCCCTTAAAAAAAAAAGCTTATAGAGAAAAAAAAAAAAAATTCCAAAATTAAAAAGGGGGCATTAAGTCGTTTCCTTATAAATGTTAACTAGCCGCAGTGGATCTCACCCCCTCCCCCAAACAACCGTGAGGCCGCTGTAATTCTATTCTAGCACATGCCCTTCTCTCTCCTCCTCCTCTCACAGATCGAAACCAGGCATATATATATATATATATATATATATATATATATAACCACACATATATAATGTAATGTAATATATATATTTCAGATATTACGTACTGGGTGATTTGATCATGGATTGCGAAAGAAAGAAAATCGGTTATGGCGAGAATTGAAGAAGAGTTTCGCATCTCAATCTAACTTCTACTTCTAGTACTTCCTCAACACTAATAGAGAGAGACAATTTGATACAATTCGATTTGGATTTTCGACCCCCATAAGACCCATAAATTTGGGTCGGGACTCTCTCCAGTTCCATTGCTTTCATTTTTGTCCTTGTATTGCGGTTCAAGAGTGGAGGGAGTAACATGAAGAGCGGCGGCGTCGGCGGCGGCGGAAATGCTCCGACGAAGCGGCGGTGGAGAGGCCTTGTGCTTGGAGTTCTCGGCCTCGTTCTCCTCTCCATGCTCGTTCCGCTCGTGTTTCTGCTCGGCTTTCACAATGGCTTCCAATCGCCAGGTAACTTATCAACTTCTCTCTCTCTCTCTACTTTCTCTCTCTTCATTTTCCTCTGTTGTGCCGAATCTCAATTTCCGCGGCTTAGATCTGTTTCTTCTTCCCCAATAATGGCGGTTCTCGTGCTTGGTTTTTTCTCGATTTGGCTCGGATCGACGCTTTCGATTCCTCGAAATTCCGGATCTCTCATTGCTGTGTTTTGGTGATTCCACTGCGTGATTTCGATTTCTTTTGCCAATTTGATATTTTCTTAGGTCGCCCTTGTGTAATTCCTTTGTTATCTTTTTGCCAATTTTTGCAGGATTTGTGTCGGAACAAAGTTCTGCTTCGGTAAGGATTTAGAAACAAACACATGGTTGTGAATTTAGGCCATTAGTGTGCATTTGACGTCTTTGTCTCATTGTCATTTTTGGGTTTCTTTGTTAGAATCCAATTCGGGGATATATTAAAGATAGCAGCAGAGATACGCCGGATCTGTCTGAGGTAATTGTTGTGCATACTTTTGAGTATTTTTTCAGAACTTTTACGATTTGGGAAACTTGACTACTAGAAATTTCACTTCAAGCGTTATTGATACTCTAGTCCACAACAGCATAGGAATCCCTTATTGTCTTAAATGCTTTGGTTTGTTTTTAGGGGGATCAATCGCGCCATGTAGATGATCTTGTGAGAAGATTAGCACCAACTCTTTCTAAGGTTCATTTCTTATTGTTATGATCTTTGATGCTTTAAATATGCTCTTGCTTTTAAATCATTGCGAGTTTTCTATCTTGCATCAAGATGATAAAATTTTTTTAATTTGCGCAACTATTTGTTTAGTATTTCTTTGTCTTTTGTTGAATCACGTGACGCTTGGGGTTGCGGACTCGTATGCAATCTTCTGGTCTTTAACCTTCTGGTCTTTCCTCTAGGAACTTGAGCAAGAAGTTAAATTCTAACCATCGAGGACTTCTTCTCCTCGTTCCTTTGCATTTAATTTTTTTGATAATAAAAGAAAGTTTCGTTAACAACAAATATAATGAAAATCTAAGTTCAAACTAGGTTCTTGACATTTGAATGGATATAACCGTACCCAAATAATCTAATCCTTATAGCAATGATTTTTGCACTGTATGCAACATCCACACCATGAGTAATAATAGTTTAGTAGGCACAGCTGCTAAAAGATAATTATTCTCTTCAGAATTTAACTTCCATTTACGATTGGAGTTAATTGCCACTAGTTTAAAAATTTAGGGACTGAATCAATAAATTATGAAGAAAAAAATGTCAGGTTTCAAAGGGCCAAATCACGGGAAGTCAAGGGACAAAAGCGCTTAAACACCCTTTCTAATCAGATGGGAAAAAAGTACACAAGGCCATTTCCTATACATTGTGCCACGTTTGATAATAAGTGGTTTTGTGCCTTGGTGTTTTAAGATAATTTCCACAGTTGAGAAATACTATTGTTATCTTTAAATTGGCATGTCTTTAAGTTTTGACTTTTTAAGTGCAAGAGTGAAGCGCGTCTTAAATTTCGTTTGCAGTCTTTTTCTTTTTCAACTTATGAGGATTTACCCTTTTGGAAGTATAAATATTGATTTCCAATTTCTTTGTTACAAAGTTCTGATGAATTATACGCCTTCCTATTAAGGTTGGGTTGACTGACTACTGGCTTTCAGGCAACTAACAACGACAAGAGAATCCTCCCATATCCAACTTTATGCACTTCTATGATGACATATACACCAGCTTCCCTCAGTTTTATAGAAGATACAAAATGGTGTAGGATCTTAAGCTTTAAAAGAGGAATATCAGGGAGACTATATATCAACATAGTTTTTTTCTTGCTCTCTTTTCTTCTTTTGCACTTAGCCTATCTGTTTGGCTATCCATGGTCTCCAGTCTCTTACATGCTTAGGAGACAAATGTTTTTTCTTTCCCCTTCATTTTGTCAAAATTCGTTTGTGTTACTCCTCCAGTCCACTTAAGTTTGGTTCATGCTATGGAAGACTTCACTCTTTTCATGTATGGTCTTCATATAGGCCTAGTTGTAAGTTGTCCCATCAGTGTACATTTTTGATATCGCTGTTGCTATCCGTGTTGGATTTAAAAAGTGGGTGATTGCAAGAGGATGAAATTGTACGACCATGTCTCGTGGGTATATTTGTGTCTGTAAGGAGTTTAGGCTTTCCAGTGGCATCTTTTTGTTCTTTGGGTGAAAGATGATTTTACAAATAGGAATCAAAGCCTGTGGACGTAATTGCAGCAATTATTTTTATTTCTCAATTTTACTTCTTTTTTCTTCTCCTAGTATGTAATGTATTTTCTCTGCATTTTATAAGTTTCTTGCATTTGATTTATTAGTTCTTCTAAATGGACATCCCTTTTCTCCAATGAATGGATTTTATGCTATGGGTTAACATACAAGCTTAACTATTTTAGATTCTGAAAAGCCATATGTGCTCTTGGTTGACCTGTTGTTTTCATCATCTCAAATTGTACGTTCCAGGATATATTTAAGAAATCTAAGCCTAAAGAAGAAACCATTGGAGGCGTCACTGTGCATGATGATGTTCCAAGAAAAGGTCCGCTTGAACGCTTTTTAGTTATTTATTTTTACAAAAAACTGTGATATTCCTTCTTCCACTGCAAAAGTTAAAATAACATTAACTTTAACTATTCTCAAATCAACTTGCAGCCTCTCCAGCACCGGCTAAGAAAGTTCCACGGGTGTCTCCCACTATAAATGTATGTAATATCAGTCTTTTGCTGAAAAGTTGGGTAGGTTGCAAACTATTTTTTAGTGCTTGTATTGCCGCGCTTATTAATTGAGAATTTTAAACAGAAGACTAGAGCTGATGGTCCTACTCACATAACTAAAAATCCAAAATATGTTGATGAAAGCGGCAAACAATGTGAATTGAAATATGGGAGTTTCTGCCTTTGGCGCCAAGAACATAAAGAGGAGATGAAGGATTCCATGGTGAAGAAATTGAAGGACAAATTATTTGTGGCAAGAGCGTACTATCCTACAATTGCAAAACTACCAGCACAGGACAAGTTGTCTCGAGAGATGAAACAAAATATTCAGGAATTTGAGCGTATTCTTAGTGAAACTAGTACAGATGCTGATCTTCCATCACAGTAAGTCATGTTAACTTTATACCATTTTACTATTTTTTGTAGTTGCAGGTAATAAGAAACTGAGTTGCTTTTTTAGATGTGGTGATTGAGTTAAATTTCCAAATTTTTGTCATACAGCTGATAGAATGCAATTTTATTCATCATTATTCTCCTTCATGCACGTTATGCTATTGCCAGTTTCTTGAATCTCGTACTATGATATGCATTCAACTTGTTCTCCTAAATTTCCTCTATGATTTTGCTCAGCTGCTCTTTTAGCATTCCTGGGCAATAATGTTACAAATACTAACAAAATAAATTAATAAATCCAGTTGTCTAGGCTAATAGTTTTTCCTGTTACAGTTTGTAGTGTAATTTATTTCAGACCACTTTCAAAGTAACCAAACAATTTAAACTATTCAATCAGGGTTCAAAAGAAGTTACAGAAAATGGATGCTGTGATAGCCAGAGCTAAATCATTCCCTGTGGACTGTAATAATGTTGACAAAAAATTGAGACAAATATTTGACATGACCGAGGATGAAGCTAACTTCCACATGAGACAAAGTTCCTTCCTCTACCAACTAGCTGTCCAGACAATGCCAAAGAGTCTCCATTGCCTTTCTATGAGACTGACAGTAGACTATTTCAAATCACCAAGTGATGTGGAGCTCTCTCTCACCGAAAAATACATGGATCCTGCATTGCAGCATTACGTCATATTTTCCAAGAATGTACTTGCATCATCAGCCGTAATCAACTCAACTGTGATGCATGCGAAAGTAAGTCCGTTTATTTTCCTAACCTTGTCTGGTTGTCTAATTTGTATCTACTTTTTGTCATTTTGGCACTGACCGGCTGTTTGCAATTTCAGGAAAGTGTGAATCAGGTTTTTCATGTGCTAACAAATGGACAGAACTACTATGCAATGAAACAATGGTTCATCAGAAACACTTATAAAGAAGCAACAGTTCGAGTGTTAAACATTGAAGCCCTTAATCTAGAAAACCAAAACCTAGAACTCTCATTGCCTGTGGAATTTCGTGTTTCCTTCCATAGCGTTGATAATCCACCTGTGGCCCAGATGAGAACAGAATATTTGTCTACCTTTTCTCATTCACACTACCTCCTACCTCAGATTTTTCAGAACTTAAAGAGAGTTGTGGTTTTGGATGATGATGTTATTGTCCAGCAAGATTTGTCAGCTCTTTGGAGCCTCAACATGGGAGGGAAAGTCAATGGTGCAGTGCAAATGTGCTCTGTAAGGTTGAATCTTCTGAAAAGCTATCTGGGCGAAAGAAGTTTCGATAAGAACTCTTGTGTTTGGATGTCTGGATTGAATGTAATTGACCTGGACAAGTGGAGGGAGGTTGATCTTACTGAAACATACGGAAGATTGTTAAAGGAGGTATATAATTGGTACAATTATGCTTCACATAATCAGTTTGAGAATTCTATTGATATCTCAAATAACAATTTTGTTCATTTTATATTATTTTCTGCATTTTTTTCTAACATTTATTGCTAAAATTTACCTTTCAGTGTGTTTCTAATGTTTTGACTTGTTGGCATTTAATATCTATGTACAGCTGAGTATGGGAGAAGGACTAAGTGAAGCTGTTGCAAGCTTGCTGTCCTTTCAAGATTTGATTTACGTTCTTGATGATGCCTGGGCTTTGTCTGGACTAGGCTACGACTATGGCCTTGATATCAAAGCCATAAAAAGAGCTGCTGTATTACACTATAATGGAAATATGAAACCTTGGCTTGACTTGGGTATTCCAAAATACAGGCATTATTGGAAGAACTTCCGGAACCAAGAAGATCAATTCTTGAGTGAGTGCAATGTGAGTCCGTGACAAGCTGATGCTATTCGTTTGTTGTCTGCTAGAGATTCTTGGAGACATAGCTCAGAAACAAATTGTGGATGCCGATTTTTTTGGATGCTGAGGGTATTCATCAAACGACCCAAAAGGGTTTGGTGTTTGGAAGACGAGATTGCGATGCTGAGTTTGACAAACAGTAAATTCTAATTATTTTTGGTAAATACAAGGACTAGAGATTTATCCACTTTCCAGAAGAGCACAAAGGGACTGGCTTCCTGATCACGGCCAAAGGTTTCAAGTCACAATTACAAGAGGATTGAAATTGGAATTTCGTCGGTAGTCCATAAAGTGATGTGAGGAGCTTTCTGGCTTCTTAGATTTGTAAACTGAATGAGTGGAGAATTATGCACAAATAATTCTGTATACGGGAAGGTGCGATAGTATGTTTAGTTCAAAGCGATTCAATTGCCATTTGATGAGATAAAACGACTGTTGGCTGCAAAGCCTGACTAGTCTTGTATGCCTTTAAAAGAAATCATACTTCTTTTAAGGTTGTATCTTATTTAATTAAATCACTTATTTTTTGTTAGATTGTGAGAATATGATTGGACAAAGTTCATTCACTCCCTTATTTTTTCTTTTCCGGGAAACTTGTCTATCCTTTCAAACGCTTTTTTTTTTTATTTGGAACCAGTCTATTAGATTTGGCATATTCCAAATTCAGGTGCTCTAAGGTATTTATATACGATGAGTATACAATATCCTTCTTTTGATTTCTGCAAGGAAATTTTACTGATTAATACTCAGTAGAGAAACCTGGAGAAGTTTTGAAGTTGGTTCCAGTAAAAGATCTTAGTTAAAGAGAAAAAAAATATATGGAAAAAATGGAGAATTTACCTTTTGAGAGTACACGAGTCTGAACTTTTACTCCTTACTCTTGGTAAATACTCTTTTATTAGTGTAATTATTTAACTAAAAATGTTATAAATCAAAAGCAAATGGTCAAAATATTAACTTATGCACTTTTAAGAGGTATTTGTCAAGAATACCCTGTAAATATTGTCCTTCTTTGAGCGGGTGGGATGGGAATTTTCATATAATTTAGTTGGATCATTCTAAGCACAGCTATTTGTGCCAAATGGACTTTGGGCTTGGCAAAGATATGGTGGTATAAATTGGAGTGGGGAGAAGAGTTGTTTGAGGCAACATTCAGTACAAAGACACTTTTTTGTACCATGCTAGTAGCACAAAAACATTGTTTCTAAATGGTATTTCTCTATCATTAAATTTGGGCTCGGGAGTATTTTCATCAACAAAACGGCACTGGACATAGGTCTATGAAGGAATTATAAAGCAGATGAGCCTAATCATAAACTCAAATTCACAGTTTCTAGAAACCTCATGCTCCATTAATTGAGAAATCTTCTAACGAAACAAGTAAATTGCAACAGGAAAAAATGAATAAACAAATAGTAAAAACCGACGTACACAGAAGGGGGAAGCTGGAAGACTAAGATTGGCCGGCTCATGAAAGGTGATTGCAGACAAAATGCATACTCAAACTGATCAGGAGCCTACCAATAACAGCTTATACCTCCCAGTTTCTAGCTCTACCCTGGCAAGTATTTTTCTCATATTGGTAACTGTAAAGAACATATTGATCATGCACCTTGATTTGATGGAAAAAAAAAAAGACAAAATGTGAAAACAGCAACTCTCAGTGCTTGAGATCATGACATATAATTAATAGTGAAGAGTTGCAGCAGTGGCATGAAATGCTGCAGGCCTCCAAGCAGAAGCAGTGAGCAAGCACAGGTCCTTCCAGCCAAGCTTGAGTGTGCCATTGTCCTCCACCAACGTGTATCCGTCCGAAGGAAACATGCCGAGGAGCAGCGTGGCCTGCGTGGCGGCGTTTCCTGCGAGGGAAATGCCGCGGAAGCCCGACTGCTGCAGCTTCTCCCTCCAGTTGTGGAACTTGACATCCCCGCTCCTCGCGGGGCCTCCCACTGCCAGCACGTTCCTTATCTCCCTCGACAGCAGCTGCTGCTCCACCACATGCCTCTCCTCACTCTCCTCCCCGTAGCTCGCCCCCAGCGAGTCGAACAGCGCCGAGTAGTAGTGTATTGCTTCCACAAACCTCCCCAAGAACGACCCCGCGTGGCTCAAATCCTGCTCTACAACGGTCACCACCTTCGGTGCCAATCTGAAACCACACAACAAAACCCATTTAGCTTTGATAACTTTTACTTTATACGTGTCATTTAATTTCATGGACAATTCTACAATAGGGTAAAAATACCCGATCAATAAGGCTCTAGTTTAAACCATCATAACTCATATCACATTATATCAATTTGCCGTACTTTTCATTTCGATGTGATCTTAATTAAATCCAATGTTTAAAAAGCCCAACTTCATAATAATTCCTGCTAATATTGAAGGAAAGAAATGACCAAAAAAAAAAAGGAAAATTAAGACGGAAGATATACATGTTCTTTATGTGTTATAACTTGGAATATGAAACTTTTTCTCTACAGTGGGAATCAGGTTGCATGGTTTTATACATGTATATATAATATTACGTCAGTATATATGTAAGACTCACGAGACATAACGATATATCTATATAGTGCATTATTGCTTATATAGCCAAAAAAGTACTGGTCATCATGTATATATAGGCTTCTCTTTTTTAAAGTACCTTTCCTACAAGATGGATAAATAATAGCATGCATTGTCGATTTAACTCGTTTATTCAAAGCTTTATTATTGAACCATAATCGGAAACGTCCAAATAATCAACTCAATGTCTCCAGCGATGACAATACAAATAAAAAAGTAGTCTGGAGGGAAAAAAAAAAAAGAAAAAAAAAAGAGAAAAGAAAGGAAAAAGGTTCCATGTTTCCGTGAAAAAAAAAAAAAGGATAACTCACTTTGACGAAATGTACACACAGATATCTATATTACATATATATTTGTTACCTCTGCAAAAGCCAGAGCGTGTTGGTATCAGACCCAGTGACATCGTAAAGAGAATGCTGCAGCCAGTGCACAGCAACAGCCTCCCTCTTGCTGACATTGAGCCGCTCAGGGTCCAAATTCCCGACCTTCTCAGCCACCGGAAAGAACTCGAACGGCAAGCCGAGCTTATCGGCGAAGTCCGAAAGCCGCTTACCGGTGGCCTCCAGGGCCTCCATGGACGTCCCCAGCCCCGTCAGCCTCACGTACGGTGGGCCTCCGGGCCTCGAAGCCAGGATGTGGAACAGCCCCGGCCATTGCAGCCCTTGCATGATGTCGAGATCAATTATGTGAACTCTCTCCTCCCTCTCAAAAGCCTCTTGTATTGCTTGGTTGGCGGTGAAGTGGGAGAATTTCACGAACGGGCTTATCCCGTTGAAGACTTGGAATGCGGAGGCCATCTTTTGGGTGTGGATGATGGGAATTGAGGTGGCCGGGAGGGCCGCGTATATCCCCAGGCAGGAGCTGACCAGCCGGGCCGACATCGCCTCCGAGAAGTAGGCCGCCACGCGCTGCGCCGACGTCCCGAATGGCGTTGACAGCTCCGAGATCTCGAGGAGGATTTTGTTCGCCTCGTCAAAGTTGTCGGCCGAGACGGCCTCCGCGCATTGGAGGAGGAGGGTCAGGAGGTGGAGCCCCTCCTCGTCCCGCTTCTGCTGCCGCAACTCCTCTTTCTTCTCTCTAATTAGTAGTGCTTGATTTGAAGGTGGTGTCGTGATTGTGGCCGTGGTCGCGGTCGTTGTAATCACTTCTTCCATCTTGGGAGAAGAATTCTCTTGTTCTTGTTGTTGGTGTTGGTGTTGGTTATGGACTTCTTCCACGGCCGGAGGAAGAATCGTGGGAATTACTCCGGCACCTACCGTTCCTCCCCAGTGCAAGTACATGTGGTCGGGGCCAAAAGTCGGTTGAGAAGACGGCGACGGAGACGACGTCGTAATGGGGAGGTTGGACATCAAAGGAGGAGCGGTTGACTCGGATATTATAGAGCGGAGACGGTACTCGAGGAGGGTGGCGAGGTTGGGGTTACAAGGGAAGATGATATCCCTCACGTTCTGGATCAGCTGCGGAATCGAGACATTACTCGAACTATGGATAAGATCCTTAATGATCCCGTCGATCCACGCCGTGGCGGCCGAGTTATTATTGTTATTTGTGTTGTGGTGATTGTTATTGTTGTGGTTGTTGTCCTCCATGGAAGAAGTTGTACTCGTCGTCGTGGTCCTTAAAGTACCACTACTCGGGCTGGGAATACTATTGTTGTTGGCGGAAGAGCTGTTGGTTTCCCGGCTGGTCTCCGGCGGGAACAGCGGAAGGCCCGAGAACCCGCAGACGGCGGGCGATTGAGTCGTAGTTGGCGGCTGTGGCTGAGACCTTTGAGGATATTGATTGTATTGATGAAGTTGGATTGGATTGGATTGGTCGATGAAAGCGGAGGAACAAGATAAAACCCCACCTGACGTCAGATTGGTCAAATTGGTTGAACATTGTTGTTGTGGCTGTGGAGATGGTGGCGGTAGTAGTGGTGGTGCCAGCATAGTGGAGTAGTTGGGAACAACCGAACTCATCACCCTGCTCATCTGATTACTACTAATATTATTATTATTATTACTATTAAAAACGACGTCGTCGTTGTCATCGCCCTCATTTACCACCGTCGGGAACGAGAACCCGATGGTCATCGTGGCGGCCGCGCAAGTGGTCGCCACGGTGCTGCTCCGACGGGAGAGCCTGAGGTAATCTGCAGCGGCGGTGGTGGCGGTCTGTACGGCTTCCATCTCGGAAGCCATTCTTTTCCGGACCATTTTTCCTCCTCCTACGGTTTTTTGCCGATTAGTCGTCGTCTTTTCTTCGCTGCTGTTGCTGCTACCGGTGCTGATACTGGAACAGACGCCGGTCACCGGAAGGGAAGCTCCGACATGGGTACTCTTAGTACTATTTTTGTTGTTGTTGTTGCTGCTGTTTGATCCACTCACATCAGTACTAGTGTCGCCGCCGGCATTGTCAATGGCAGCCATAAGGGAGACAAAAGAAAGAAAGTGAGATGAAGAATTTGGGATACAAAGCAAAGAGAAGTAAATAACCAAAAGAGTGAAGAAGTATTGGTACTTACCAAATGAGCTGAAGAAGATAAAACTCTTAATACAAAGTTACAACAACTACTTCTGAGAGCAGCATGTGAAGAGGGGGGGAAGCCAAGCAGATAACGGCGTTAGGAACTGGACAGTGGCTTTGGGATTCCACTCTCTCTCTCCTCGTTTCTCTTTCTTTGTTTCTCTCACTAGCTAGTTCAAAGTCTCTAAACACAACCCCAAAACACGACCTTCTATGACCCCCTAATTATAATTTCTCACTCTCTCCTCTCATCTCCTTTTTTATTATAATAATGTATAACTACTAACTAGGCAGAAACCATGCCTTTTGGATCTATCTATCTGACTTCTCAAAATTCTCATTCAACCGAGAAAGAGAAACCCAAAAAAAGCGTAAATAATAATAATAAATAGTTGGAGAGCTGATTGGGAGAGAGTCGAGGCTGCACTGCAAGAGGAGGGTGGCTGTTTGATTGCTATGCGTCTTGGCTTGGATGGATGAGCTTCATTTGTCACTTGCCCAAAACCCATGTAATAAAATTGCATAAAAATAGTGTTTTTGCAAAGCTAATAAGCTCTTAATTATCCAAATAAGTAACCCAAATAAATAAATATATATATATATATATATATATGAGAGAATATAAGAGATGTGTTTTTAGTTTTTCCTAATTTTTAGATGATGATAAGAAAAAAAAAAAGGGGAAGAAAGGGAAAATAAAGGAGCAGAGAGAGAGTGGCAGAAGATTGGTGATGGGGTGGGGGGTTTTTGGGTGGGTTGGGCACTTCAATACTGCTCGTCGTTGAGCGTTTGGACGTTTTCAATGGCGTTAAAGGCTAAAAAACGACCATTACTATGAAGTCCGAGGCAAACAATACTGTTATTATGGAGCCAAGGAGGAGATATTAGTTTTGTATTTGTATTTATTGGCTTGGCATTAATTAGTTTATTCAATGCTCTGTCTAACCCTCACTGCACACGTCCTCGTCACCATCATTTAATTGCTTTTCTTTTTTTGTTTTTTGTTTTTAAAGAGATTTTTAGGACAAGATATGAAAATACTAAAATATCGTTTAAATTATTAATTTAAATTATTAATTTAAATTGGGATGTAATTTTATATAAAATTTGTTTATTATAATAAAAAATTAAATATAATTTTTATGAGAATTTTTAACTTAATAAAATTAAAAATTTAAATTAGTAAATGTATGTTTATTTTTTGTATTCGTCTCTGATTTTAAATTATGATTCATAATTTTCTATAATGTTTTTTTCTCACAAAAAATACACATAAAATGAAAATAATTTTAAATTATGATACTGAATTTATGAACCAAACATCCACTAAAATAAATGAGTCCTAAAATGACTGTAGAGATGTAGACGAGGCTGGGTTTGGTTCAGGTTTGATAATACTGTCCCCGTTCATAATCTCCATTTACTATACCATCCCCACCTCATTAACCATCTAATCTAAGAAGGTAGGGAGAGCGGAGAGGGTGTCTCGTTACCAAGTGACTTAGGACTCGTTGGATTCGCTAATTTGAGTTTTTAATTTTAGTTGAGATGTGATGTTGTGTGAGAGTTTTTTACTGTAGTAAAAAAGTTAGATGTGACTATTTCTGAGAGCTATTTACTGTAGCAAAACTTGAATTCTAAACTCGAATTTGTGAAAAGAACGGGACATTTAGTTTTCAAAATTTTTTAAATAAAATGAAAAAACTTATAATGATAAAAATAGAATTATATAAGCATCTGACAATATATATTAACTTAAATTTCACTAACAAAAAAACATCAAGCATATTAAATATCAATGTTACAACAAAATTTATTCAAAATCAAACATACCAATCCAACAGATTATACATATTTATACAAATATGTGCATAAGACTATCGAGACATGATATGATAGGGCATGCAATACCATCCCCTCCCTATCCCCGGTTAATGTATAACCGGGGAAAAATATCCCCACTCCAAAACCGCTTAAAACAAGGAACAATTGCCGCATTCGGTGGTTGGTAGGTCAAATTAATTGCTATTAATATATATATATATATATATATATAACACAATTTTAAACCGTCGTATTGTATTGAAATCTAATTGAAAAATATAATAATTTAGTGAAATTTGAAGAGGATTTTTTTTTCCCTGAATAAAAAAATGCTCATCAAATTTCACTAAGTTATCGGTTCAAACACTAGAAATGCTCATTTTTTTAATATAATTTTATACATTTGGAAAGGGAAAATATTCTCACAATGTTTGTTGATAATGACACTGCCTGACCGACCTTTGAAATTCTATATATCAAAGAGGGACATTAGGAAGCAAGAATGTTTACACTAACCTTTTTTTAATCAATTCAAGTCTTTGGGATTAATAATTGTTTGTCTCAAGGAAAATGAAAAAGAAAAACTAATAATTAAGGAAATGAAACTTGGCTTCTTTTATTCGTCGTGTACTCGGGGATACTGCGGAGAATTATATGAAACATGGGATTTAACTCAAATGATATCATGAGCTGGAGTACAAATCGGGTATTGAAAATGTAAACTGTTGGTCATTTCCTTGCTTGTTTTTATTTTCCAAAAGGAATTTTTCTTGATTAATTTGTTAAGCACCGCAATTGTGTCAAAGAAAACAATTATTTCATGTGTCTTATATTTTCCCTTTGGCCCTCCAATTTTAGATGTAATTTTTTTTGTTGGAAAATGGCATTTTGAGGCACTGATTGTGGCCTCAATATTGAGTGGGATCTGCATTTTATAAATGACGGGTAAAATTGGATTCAAGTTCTCCTCAGTGAGATTTTCGACATAATATATTATATGCTTAAAATGATATTTTAGTGAATGAGAAATTGATGTTCAAAGTAAACTTAATGTGTCGAAAAAGTTTAATGAAATAATAAGAATTCCTTGTCCCATATGGGAAAGGAATTGAAGTCTTTTATAGTGTTTATATAGGATTCCCCAAATGACGAGGGGTGATGTTGATTTTTTCTTATTCCGAGCATACAATCAAAATTGTTTTTGTAACAGCAAAGGGAAAAAAAACAAAAACAAAGTCCTCTTCTCTAAGAAAAGCGCTGTAGTATTCTTAGGTTTAGGGTGATAGAGTTTTGGGCTAATTTCAATTTACCGGAGTAGTCCAACTCTACTCTTCTGTTGCCGTTCTATTACGAGGGATAGACGCTACAAAACCTTGTGCACTACAGTGAAAGCGTGAATCTGTTTTAAAGACTTTGTGTGAAACATGGATTTAGGGCTTCTACTTTTTTGATTCCGTAATTTTTTTGTTGTTGTTGTTGTTAATTTCTGGTTCATATTTAGATCATATTATTGATGTAATCATTTTTAAAATCTTTAATTCCGCTTGTACCGGTTTATGTGACTCTAAGGGGCTGTTTGGTTGGAGAATTCGTACTTCGATTCGAATCATGGTTCATGATTCGCTACAGTGTTTTCTCTCACAAAAAATACACATAAATCAAAAATGATTCTAATCTCATGATTCTAATACATGAACCAAACGTCTTTTGATTCAGGTTTTTTTTTCCTTACCTCTTTTTTATTTTATTATTTTATCATTACGTAGAAATTAATTGTCAAATTTGTTAAGAGTTAAATCACTACCTTAATTCACATTAGAGTTATGTCAACATACTTGGCCTCCTCCTTCTCTCTCTCTAAAATTTTTTCTCCTCCTTTTTTTTTTTTTTAAAGTTTCTGTACCGGCTTTTTCTCTTTGGTGGGAGGTCCGACGCATCGCCGGACTTCTAGCCATAAAAACTCATTCCTAACCTCACATCGAGATGATCTACAAGGTGATGGACTCCTTGTAACCAGAGGAGGTAATGTTTTGTCGAATCTGGCCTGTGAAAGTATGAGTTTCTCAGGTTTTACATGATCTTTGTAGGGTGTTCACCGGCCATGGACTCTGGAAACTCATGAATAGACTTGGGGGAGTTACTTGCTCGTAGTGTTCACACCATCTCCAACCAGATCTCTCATGTGTAGGTTGTGGATTTGTGTATAGTTTTTTTTGTATTTTTGTTCTTTATTTTGCTATAATAATGGCGATAGTTTCCCTATCCCCCGGCGTGTTCCAGTTGGCTTCCCCACCGCTGCTAGTATGAGGTTTGTGTGTCTGTTTGAGGTCTATTACAGGACTAGGATCTAGCTCACTTTGAGTCGATTCTCCGTGCCCAATTGTTATAGAGCCACTTTTAGGAGGTATCCTCCCTGTTATTGGATTAGGGATGTGTTTCTAATGTTTAATCATGTGAGTAACACTCGTTTCTATAGCTTAATGTAGTCATATATTCTAACCCTTTAGTAGCCTTTTAATGAAATTGCCATATTTACGTTTAAAAAAAAAAATTCATGTTGGAGTTGAACAAAAAATGCAAACCGTCCCACCCACAAATGATGGGTCCACATTATAACCACGCATCACATAAACTAGTACGGTTTAACGCCATTGAAAAAATAAGAACAAAGGAAAAAAAGAGCCCTAAAACGCCCAACCAACCTGTTTTGCATCCTTAATTTAGACAAGTTTTTTTTATAAAAAAAAAAAAATTCTTGTCACACTAACTGAGACTTTATAATAGTAATTAGTTTGTAATGTGCTCCACACGTATTACTATGTTTAAGATGTCTGAAGAGTTTATTATTTATCAAAATAATGAGAAATTCCTTTATATAACAATTCAAGGAATTTTAAATTTATCTTAAAAAGAAATATGCGAAAAAATTATTGTTGACAAAAAAAAATAGGGACACATTTAAAGAAATTTGTTTTAACCATCAAAAAATAAAATAAGAATACATGTGAAGAATTATTCTTATAGGAGTAAAGTGATGAACAATATTTTTTTAAAAATCACACAAAAAATAAAAATGTAA